TTTCACCAGCTCTAGCCAAGTGGGACAGCGTATATAAGCAACTAGAGGCACCCACATCCTCTCATTTGAAAGCCTGCCTCCCCGCACTGTCTTTATCTACATTGACTGCGTGGCAGCAGAGAGGATAAGCATATTTAGGTTGCTTGTTTCCTCCCAAACTACATTCCCAACACCGTAGATCATAGATATTACAACCCTTACATCCCCCTCTGTTCACACTCATATATACAAACACACACCTGCTGGGGCAAGGCCGTCTGGGAGGGAATTACAGCAGCCTAATTTATGAGGCCCAAGGGAGGGCAAAGGGCAGGGGATCCAGACTGGCCTGACCTCACTTCCTCTTTTCATGGTCTCTAAGTTAGAACTGTGATACACAGAACAAGGTGTCAGCTCTCAAACAAATCACCCTCTCACTGTCTTTCAAACAAGGCAGCTAATTAGGGTATCTTTTTTCCTAACTTGGTTAACACAATGAGCCCTGAGGGAGTGTTAACTATTATCATAGGCCTGCCTTTGTGGACTATATGGCTCTATCAGAGTCCAAAGTAAGTGGGTGAGAACAGGGTTTTTGCTGAAAAATCTGGCCTAACGCGGGCTCGCCTTTGGCCTCCTCATTTCCTCCAATGAGAAGGTGCTGTCATCCGTCACTCGGTTCCAGGCAGCGGCACAATAGCACAGTCTGGGTCCTGGCTACTGACACCACCACATGGGTTGCTGATAAGACTCACCTTCCGGGACCCAGAAGAACTGAGACATTACTGCCACACAACAGTTTGGTCCACTGCCATTCTTTCTGTTGACCATGAAATTAAAGGAAAACGGAAAGTTAATTATGAGCTACATGAGGCGGACACACTCTGTATCTGCTCTCACAATCTTTTCAAGTTTTTTTTTCTGTAATGCACAGCCTCATTATTTACATATTACATGCCCTAATGCAAGATGATGGGGAAAGCTTCACACCCAGTTAAATAATCCGGTTGGACTTGTTGGACATTGGGAAAAACGCACTTGAGCTAATCTATTTTCCTAAAGTAGCAATCTATTGTTGTTATTGGCTGATTAAGAGCACTTTAAGACAAATGGATAGTCACACTTGAGTTCCTTGTCACACATACAGGCGGTTGGTAGAGCCTGTTAATAATCACCTCCATTGTAAAAGGATTGTAAGTGCTCTTCTACACAACTCTGTCAAGTCATAATATCAAACCTTCATTCTTTCATAAATAAACAGCTGTTTGCATCAACCAGTCAGACACAAAACCCAGAAGCAGCGATGGATGATAAATGTCGTTATTTCTTCAAATGTCTGGTCTGTGCTCTGTGCACCCTGTATCTCAGTGGTGTACTGTACACCTGCCCCTCTGATGCCGAAGCCCTGCTTCAGTATACGTTAGACTGCCAGAAATATGGAGATAAGGAGGGAAACAAGAAGAGACACGTTAAGCGCTGCTTGGCAAAACGCTAACTTTGAAGAACTCACCAGAAAGTGAATTGTGCGGAGTGACTGAAATTTGACTCCCACGGAGGCAGAAAGCAGATCGGGTTTTTTTTTAAAAAGTTATTTTTCAAAATCCATTTAATTTTTTTTAACGCTTAGGCCTCTGCAGCCTGTATCCGCTCTGACCTCTGCTGTGGACTCGACCTTACCGAGGCTATCAAGACGATTCAGAAATGAAGATGATGTATTGGGGAGTCGCATTCACCAACGAGTAGCTCCTTGACACTCTCTGGGAGTCTGGGTTTTGTTAAAGGCAGGAAACAGACTCTTCCGCTCCGTAAACACGAGTCTTTACTTGGCCACTTTTGGACTGCTGGTGGCACGCGAAGCCCGTGAAGATGGTCAGTTAGGGGCTTTAGAGGCCCTGCGCACTCTAGGTCGAAAGCGTGGTGACTCTGCTCAGACGCGTGTTTACAATTAATTGTTTTAACCGCGTAATCTCTTTTGGGGTATTAATAATTTTCTCCTAAACACTTTAAATAAAACAAAACAAAGCAACCCCCCCACACACACACACAGCTATTACGCATTTATGTCTATGTTTGGTATTTTTTAAATTATTGCACTCATTAAAGAGGAATGGGTAAATATTTGGGAAACAAAATGACCAGATTTACTGCCCTTTGGGTTGCTTTACGAGCTAATTCTATCACATTCTATCACAAATTCCACCTAACTCGCGCAAACTTCCACTGTGTGGAAATGACTTTTCCTTATTAGTAAATCTGGATAAATTATTGTTTAAATAATGTTTAAATTTGCGTCCAAGCAGCACTAAGTGACCACTATATTTTTGCAGAGCGCACAGAGAGTTACTGTGGCCTAAAAGCTTTTCTTTTTTTTCAGACTCAGTTCAGCTCTTGACTTAAACTACTCCACTTAAACCGGCCTTTTTTGAAAAGACATGCATCTCCATGAGAGGGGGTGACGCTATCCATTTCTAAACAGCGCCTTGTTGATGGTGAGCGGATGAGATTATGTGGACATGCTCTTCTTTTCTTTCCACACGGTTTGAGAGCAATGGGTCCTCAAACCGTGGCGCCTGGACCTGGCCAAAGATAGTCCACCAGAAGAGAGGTGTCTCGTTTCAGCACGTTTATCCCTTAGGCACAAAGGTAAATTAAAATGAAAGCTCAGTGTATTAATATACAATATAATATAATTATTAATATAATATAATAATTATTATTTTCTTTCCTTGTAGCGCTTGAAGCTGATCATTCATTTATTTATTCAAAAAAGGTTTTTGCTTTCCTTTTACCAGTGTCAAGAGGAACTATTATTGTGGCCAAATCATCCTAAAACTTCCACAAATAAATAAGCCATAAATAATTCACAAACAACAATTTAGCACTGAGAATTCTTTATGCCTCTCACGGTTGCCGGATTTATGTCATTTCGCACACTCTCGTTATATGATATTATCAAGGAATTGCCGAGAGGGGAAACAAAGATAGGCCTAATCTTAAAAATCACCAAATCTGCGATGTTGTGGGACCGTCCAAGAAATAAGTGAAATTCTTTAAAAATAAAACATAAATAAACGAATAAATAAATATTGGTTCCACCAAGTTAAGTATTTTTGTGGGCTATTTGCATTAAACTACACAACATAATATGCTTTGCCTAATTATTACAATTGTGTGACAGCGTTGATGCAGTTTACTAGAAACATATAAAGCGTGAATTAAGAAGTTCCTTACCTTTCAAAATATTTCCCAGTTTCACTGCAGTCGATGGCATCAATATTATTTCATAAATTAGGGATAACTTCCTGACATATGTAGGCTACACCTAAATAGAACAGAGAGGGAAAGGGGGAGGAAGAGTGCGAGAGAGAGAGAGAGAGAGAGAGAGAGAGAGAGACCCTACCAATCCCTCCCCCGCTTCAGGACGTCACTGAGAGGGAGAGGACAGCATCTTGGCTGACCCTCTCTCGCTAGATAACTGAATTCAGCCAACCAAACGGGATCGACCTTTCTCTTTCTCTCTCAGCCATCCAGCCACAGACGCATATGCAACTAAGAGGGATGTCACAGCTGAGAGAAAATCAGTTGTCTTCGGTGTGTATGCAAAAACAACAGAGCGCGGCCGTTCCTCGGGTTTACGCACGCCTAATTTTCTTCTTTTGCGCGTCCGGAGGGGAATCGGTCCTGTTCTTGGACTGCTGATCGGTATATTTTGCCATCTCTTTCTTGGTGGTAATAATGATTCCTAGTCCGGTCATAGGTTCGTCCTCCACGCCTTTTTCCGTGAAGGACATTCTGAAGTTAGAGCTCCAACAACAGTCTCAGCAGCACCAGCTACAGCTGATCTCCTGCTTCGGTCTCTCTGGTGCGCTCTCACAGCCTGGAGCTCTATCGAACAAATCCTTCCGTTCTCACTCGCCGCCCTCCTGCATGCTGGCGGGCAGAGACACCCCAAGCCCCATCAGCTCCTGCCTGTCGGAGAGCGAGGAGAGGATGGCGTACCTCAACTCACTGAATGTGCAAGACCGATTGACGGACTCCGGTATCCAGGTGGAGGTGTTCGGCGACCTGGGGCAAACCCACTCTGCAGACCTCCGGCCGGAGACAGAGCAGGACGAGCATGACAGCAGTGAGTACACAGTCTACTGAAGCGAGTTACTCTGAGGATGTTAATTATATAAAAATGCACATGGACGAAAATGCCAAAGGAGAAAATCAAATCATAAAATGTGAATTAAAGTTAATTACGAGACAAAAAAAGGCTCATCAAATCTGACATTGATACACATTTCTGGAGAAACGTTTTCCGAATTCTGTTTAAATTACTATAAATTGATCACCTAACACGGACAACAAAAAATAGGCCCCTGGTTAATAATATACATAATATATATTTTCATAATATGACCAAACAATGGACGGCAAAGAACAACAACAAAAAAAAGAAGATTATTATTTCATACAATTCATTAGCTGCCAGCTAATGAGTAAGACTGGCAGAGATTAAAGTGTTTACATTTGCAAGCTGCTAATTTATGTTTGCTGAATATATTAAACTGATGATCCAAATTGTCACGCATTTAAAAAGACGTAGACACTTCCAGAAACACAAGACAGAAACTATATTTAGCCTCATCTGATTTTAATGTATCAACATCCACGTTTAGTTAATGTTTGTATATAACGTGACGTCATTATTAGTATGCCTCCCTAATTTTATTTTTCAATACATTTTACTAGCAATTTTCATTTAGGCTACTTCCAATACACTTGTACAATAAATGATAAGAATAAGAATAAGAATAAAATTTGTAATAGTAAATATATACTTGAAAATAATCAAGATGCTAGCTCTGATGTGTAATTAAACATGGTTTCTCCATGCAGAGAGCTGCGGTGTCATGCCGGGTGAGTGTGAGGATCCAGACTCGGAGAAGCCGGCCACCAAGCAGCAGAGGACCAGACGGAAACCTCGCGTCCTCTTTTCCCAGGCTCAGGTGTTTGAGTTGGAGCGGCGCTTCAAGCAGCAGCGTTACCTGTCCGCCCCGGAGAGAGAGCATCTGGCCAGCTCCCTTAAGCTCACCTCTACCCAGGTCAAGATCTGGTTCCAGAACAGGAGGTACAAATGCAAGAGGCAGCGGCAGGACAAGACCCTGGAGATTGCGGGTCATCATCACCACCATCACCACCCACCACCTCCAAGGAGGGTGGCTGTGCCGGTTCTCGTCCGAGACGGGAGGCCTTGTCTCGCTGGATCTCAGAACTATAATCCCCCTTACACAGTCGGAGCTCCCAATCCGTACAGCTACAACAGCTATCCAGCCTACAGCTATAACAACTCGGTGTATAGCAACACTTACTCTTGTACTTATTCTAGTTTCCCTTCTCTCCCGCCCAGCAACGCCTCTGCCAATGCTTTCATGAATATGAATTTGGGGAACATTAGCGGACAGACGCAAAGCCAGACTCCCCAAGGACCAAGTGTCACACCCTGCCAGGGAGCTCTGCAGGGTATCCGGGCATGGTAGCGCGGTCTTTGCGCACAATCAGAAGCCTGTCTTTATGGATAGACTCGAGCATGTAAACATCTTCAACTAATCCCGTGAAAACCACAATTTCAAATTCCGTAACACATTACAGAGCGCAGGGGTCATTTTGTTCTAACTCCACAGGAATATGAAGAAAAATGGACTGAAATAAAAATATATCTATTATAATTTTTTTTTCCCCTCTGAGCCACGTGTTTAGAAAACTTAGTGAAGTTGTTGTGTTATGTTTGACGGATTAGCCTAAACTATCCGTAATGGTTCAAAACTGATGTATTGTGCTTAAAAAATAAAGGAAAATCCCATATAAATTTTCGGTTACGCAAAGACTATTAGATTAGAATTCATTAAGAAAGTGAAGTCTTTCATGAATTTTATTTGGATGCATAAAGTTGCAAGAAATTAACATGGATCACAAATGCAGGACAATTTAGTATTATTTCTATTAAGCTCTTCCCCCCTCTTTTTTAAATTTGTGTGACTTGGGTTTAACCTTAAGGCTTTGTTTTTTCACTCCAAAACGAAGTGAGTGACACTGAAAGCCAATGAACTGATTAAAAAAAGAGGTGCTCAAATAAGGCTGTTTCTAGGCTCGAGTTAAAAACCACAAAATGATGCAAGTTATCAGCGATGGTGGAATTAAAGGGCATAATAACTGTCATGGCACGACTGATTGAAGTGGAGTGTGCTTTGTGTGTGAATCTGTGCGTGTATCTGTTCTTTTTCTTTTTCTTTAAATGATGTTGACTGAGGTTTATTCCAACATTTCTTATCGTCTGAAATCTTTTCTCAAGCCAAGAAAACGTTTTTTTTCTTGTGTGAGAAAGCTTGCGCTAGACTTCGGCTTGAGACAAGAACCAGAAACAGAGAGAATTTAAAGGCGAGCTAATGTCCGGTCAGGATTCAGAGATGGACATTAACCAGACGGCCAGCATCCCCGGACCCACAGAGCATAAAAACGAGAAGAGCATTGGATGATAAATACTCTTACTACTCCTCTTCTTTTGCTAAATAATAATAATAATAATAATAATAATAATAATAATAATAATAATAATAATAGATTACCTAAAGCTGTGTCACATTTATAATTACAATAATGTCATAATTACATAATAAATACTGATCTGCACTCACTCACAGCGAGGCAAACCCAGACCACATATATACTCTTTCTTCAACTCTCTCTAACACACACACACACACACACACACACACACTTCGTTGTTTAGCGATGGACTTAAGCAAAGCCTTTACCCACCAGGCACGGCCGAATACCCTGACGCTATTAATGGAGATAAATGGCAAAGTAAACAGCGTGTTTGTCTCCCCTGATAGCCTCACTGGCCACTTCCCTCGGCTACTGCACTGCCGGTAGGACATACCTGGTGTCAGCTCTAAGTGCTGCAGAGTCACTAGTGTAAATAGAGCTGGCGACAGGACGGCGATGCCTGAGGACGCGGCTTGGCCACGGGTTCTCTGACAGACACTGCCGCGATCGCTATCTTCTGCTTCCAAAGATAGCAGCTCAGCGGCTCATCGCTGCGCTGTATAGGCGTGGAGTTTCCTAAAACAAAGTGTCTAGAGGCAGACACTCAAGAGCTCACAATAGAACCGAGGCCCAAATATAGAGAAGGAAAGAAAGCGGGAATAAAAGCTCTATCATTCGGTTTCATTCTGGCTGCACCCTGTCAGCTGTGCTAGGACATGTTTTCATGTCTACAGCACTATTAACAAGTATACTGGAACCAGGAATACTGGAACATTAATATTCGGTTTAGCGTAAAACAATAATAAGTCATCAAAATTCCGCGTGACTTGATTGGCTTTTATCTGATATAGTATTTAAAAAAAATTTAAAATTTAAAATTTAATTTCCACAAAAGTTCAAACGTTATACTCTTTCTGTGTGAGCACAACAGTAAACTAAATCTTTCCTCACAAACCAAATCTCGTCAAAAATATCTCTTTTGGTAGAACATATGCACTTGCAGAAATTCACGCTTAACACTCCTTACTGGACAAAGGCCGAGGTTTTATTTGGACACGTGTAATGATGCCTATGTGTGCGAGACTTTACTCCATAATTATAATCAACATGACACCATTGATTTCAAACCGTTTTTGCAAAATGAATAATAAACTGCATTCCGACGCTGATTTGCAGAATTCAGATGTTCTATTTTGAAACTGACTTGTTGTGGTTTGAACCCAGGAAACTGCGCTAAAATTTAAATTTATCCCTCTCAGGCACTTAAAAACACCCTGGAGGGTGATGTGGCTTTGAGGTACAAAGGGAGATTTTACTGCAATTACGAGAAACAAACAACATGGAGGAAGCAGCTCGCCGCATCTGTCAGTACATCTCCTCACCTGAAAGGTAGATTGTGTAATCCTGGTCTTTATGGGAGTGCGTATGTGCATGTGCGTAGCTGTCGTCTTTTATTTTGACTCACGTGTAACTTCGAAGACCAAGAATCCTGTCCACATGGCGGCGCTAGACACCTGTTCGAGCAACAAGGCAGAACCAGCAGATGTCCATCTTCACACTGGACTGAAGATGTGTTTCATTATAAAATATTTAAACATGCAGGTCTTTAGGTTTCAAATTGTGCACAATTTTACCAGTCACATAATTCACAATGATAAAAAAAATATGGATTTTTTTTTTTTTTAACTCTATATTATATTTGGGATTTTTTTAAAAAAAAAAAAATCAAAATAGTCCTTTTTGGATTAGTTTAGACTAAAGTGGAAAGTAAACTTGAATTTTCAAAAGAGTTATTTCTGGTTTTTAAATGTAAATTCCTGCATTGTGAAATGCTTTAAAACCAAACTCACAGGTGAAAACCAGAACTGAGCGGCATTTTTACGCACGCTTAGTGAACGTAAACCGTCGGGTTTTCACACATGTACATGACATCTGATAGTTGGTAAACCTAAAGGAAGCAGCCTAAAGAAGAAGAAGAAGAAGAGAAAGAAGAAGAGAAGAAGAAGCTGTTAAGCAAACAAAACAGCTCTGTGCGTAAAAATAACTGAAAACATTTTCCAATGGGTCTGATTCATGTTTAATATCAGATAGCATGTTAAGAATAATCAGAAGGTTCTACTTATTTTCTTTGGCTCTTACAGATTAAACTAGATGGATTTTACATTTTTTATTTAAATCACAGTACTCATACCGAAAGCTAAAGAAAATAAAACCATGTAGCCTTGGGAATCAATGTCCTTCGTCCTTCACTGACACTGAGCAAAGAGGCCAGGTTTAAAGCTGGGCGGTGCGAAGGAGGGACCAGCAGGCACAGATAACATCCTATCACAACTTAACTGGAGCTGCAGTTGAAATACTGCTTGACAGTCTTGACAGATCCTGATATAGGCTGCTCATTAGCACATTAGACTGTTCGCCGCAATTAAATTACAACGCGCAAAAGAGCGAATCAGTAGTGAGAGCTTGTTTTTGCTTTCCAGTGGCGGATTTCTTGATGCCTCCCAAGAAATCGCGCGCGAGAGTGAGGAAATACCCGTGCTCTTATCTGAATTATGACATTAAGTGTTTCATCCTTTTCCATCAAAGACATCCTCACCGGACTCGATGCCAACGGCAAGCCGGGAACCGCGGGGGAGTTCTGCGCAACGAAGGCGAACAACACGCTCACCGGCTATGGTGGCAGGGATGGCAACCACGTCTACCCGCAGACACTTCCCACACATCCCCGCGTTATAAGCGCCCAATCGGAGGTTTCTACAGAGGAGGACACAGGAGAAGAGACAGAGCTCATAGAAGGTGGGTTTTTTTTTTTTTAAAAAAGATCTGTAAAGACTATCGGGGAAAAAATCTTAAACTGGTGTGTAGGCGTTCTCATCTAAATTGTATTCCATCATGTTGAAGGAACATAAACATTCATCACAAAACTCGAATGTGTTTCACGCCATAATCACTTTATCGAGTTATTTATTTTGCATAAGAAACCGTTTTCACAATAGAAAAAAAAAATCCCGTTACCGTGTGTTTAAATTGAAGAACTGTGTATTATTTTCCCCATAAAAATACATCGATGTGTAATTTAACTAACTACAGTGTAATTATTACTGTCTCGAGAATTTGGTTCTATTTATTCATGCCCCATGTGACTTTTTTGTGCGTAAAGAGCACATAGCTTGTGGGAAAATAAAACTATAACACTGCGTCGTGGAAATCTGTGGGATTTGTTTAAAGTTGTTCAGAGCATTTATTCAGGTACATCCCTTAACTTTAATATCATGACAGAAATACAATAGAAAACTGTCATATTGGCCAGCATCAGCACCTTGTTGGAATGACCTATCAGCAAAAAACAGGGGCCTTGTGCTTTGTCACCCTGACGTACAGAGGCAGCACATTTACTTGTATTCACGGATTTATATTTTATTTCAGTCGCTGCAGATGACCAGGAGCAGTGTGAGGAGCAGGGCGAACAGCAGAAAAGACCGCAGTGCGAGAGTGCAGAGGAGGAGGGATGTAACCGCGGCGGGGAGACCTCAAGCTGTTTGCCGGACGCGCAGGAGTGCAGGCCCGGTGCAAAGAAGCGCACCAGGTCGGCCTTCTCTCATGCTCAAGTCCACGAGCTGGAGCGCCGTTTTAGCACTCAAAGGTACCTTTCTGGTCCCGAACGGGCCGATCTGGCAGGAGCCTTGAAGCTTACAGAGACCCAGGTGAAAATCTGGTTCCAGAACCGGAGATATAAAACCAAACGTCGCCAGATGGCGACCGAAATGGTGGTATGCAGCTCCCCAAAGAAAGTGGCTGTAAAAGTTCTGGTGCGGGACGATCAGAAGCAATACCACCAGGGGATTGGAGTACATATCCCCATGACTGTGCCACTGTACCGGGGCTATCAGTACTACCCGTACCTGCACTACTACTACCACCAACCCTGGAACATGGACAACATGTTTTGTGGAGGGATGCTTTGAGGCCCCGAAGCAGAACTGTTTTCAACAAGTGTCACTTCAAATGCAAGCGTTCTGCTTTCTAGGAGGTTTCTGCTGACTCGGTGGATTTTACGATGTAATTGGACATTTTATACAGAAAATCCTCCATTTTTAAATCGGAATAAGTAATGTAGTTTAATATTTTGTCAGTTTCATATTGTGTAACTATTTGCAAGTTAGAAAAAAAACATTTTAAAGGGAAATACTACTGACTTCTTCAAAGCTCTTATGTGGCCAGGATCATGACTTTTAAATATTTCTTTTAACTTTTAAAAAAAATTATTTCATGAATTATATTTCAAAACTTTCAAAAGTTAAAAAATATTTATTATTATGATTACGACGGGAAGAGGAGGTCATAAAAAGTGAAGGTTGCTAAGCGGAAGAGAACATAAAGTTAACTACAATGTTATATTTCAACCTTTTCTTGTGGGATTAATAAAAGAAAAGAAAAGAAATACAACAAAGCAAATCATTTTCATTGTGTTGACGGTGGAAATCATGAAAGTTTGAACTTATTCAAATAATTCTATAAGAGAAATTATTTCTCTCACGACCCTAAAAGTTTTCTTTACTCTGAGTTCTTCTTTCTGTTCATAAAAAAACATTATGTTTGCAACAGATTTGTAGATCACCCATTTCTCCATGATGCACCATCTCAAATACTTCATGTTTTTATATCAAGATTTTTATTCGGGGTTTTTATAATCAAATCAAGGTCACAACAGTGATAAATATAAGAACTGTGGTTTTTTAATATCTATATAAGGATATGAAAATGAAAATAAAATATAAATAATGTAGGTTCTGTTGTCATATTTAACCTCTTACCTATACTACAGTGTCAGATGGTGCACAATATCTTAAATGCAATTTAGAAATTTGATGGGGTCATCTCTGCAGTGTCTTAAAATGAAGTGCTGACTGGGTTTCTCACAAGTTCATAGGATGATATATATGTTGTTTTTTTCTTCTTCCCCCATGACTGCCAGCAACAGCTCATTGTGAGCGACCAGACAGAGCAGAAAGGAATCTGGAAGTTATACAAACCCAACAAGAGAAAGTAGCTTATCTTGATGTGTGAGAAGCTTGACCGAGGCCTCTGACACTTTTAGTGGGCATTTATTTTATTTATGGGACACCTTTATTGATCGTGAAACTTAACATTAACACCTGCAAGAAGACATTCTTCTTTCGCACGGTACTAAAGCAACAGATTAGAAAGCAATAAGGCTTCTTCACGCGAATGTACTTCTAACATTCTGTATCTCAAACGGATAGAGTTTATGCTTTTAAAGTGTCTGTTTGGAAATGGGTGTTCATCTAGTTGGCTGACTTCCTCCTCTAACATTTCAGCATTGCACAAACCTTTACATGACATTAGGAAGAAGAATCTTTGCTGTTGTTTTATACAAAAATTGTGGGGGGGGTTTCTTAATCCTTCTGCATAGGTGTGCTCTCTACTATGTGCTGCACTAGTCAGAGACGGTTAATAGACCGTGGAGATGTTGCACCATGGAGCCAGGCTGCACAAGACAGTGCACATTAATCATGCTTTACTGAAAAGACTACACCCTCATCATCACTCTCAAGGAACAGCACAGTGATCAGACGCCATAGGAAAAAATGTAATTCCTATACAAGGGGACCAGCATTTTAGTTTGGTTTTTAAATGATTGCATTTACCATCCAGAGGGAGTTAACATCTAGGCCTGTGTTTTATCAAAGGAGCTTGCAGATGGTGGAGAAAGGCAGGATGGTCAGATAAAATAATTTATCTTCCCCCAGGAATAATATTTAAAAAAGATACAGTTTATGTAGCATGTTTACCGATCCCCTTGACACTGCAGGGTTACAAAAGGTTTGCAAGGTCTTAAAAGCACCGCAGTGTCCTGTCTTTATAATCCCAAACAATATTATCATTACAGTACTACAACATTAAAGAGACATCAAAGAACTGGGATGTAACAGTGCTTCAGCTTTCCTTTTCCCAACGCAGGCAGCTTTGGCAGAGATGATCACCTTTTGCTGCACTCTGGCTCCAGCCCAAACCCCATCTATCTCTTGTATCAAAACAGCACTTCAGACTACAGTAAGTGGTTGGCACTGTGCGCAGCAGGTTTCAGGGTGGGAGGAAAAACACATCTTCTTTTCAATGTCTAACCATAATTCACAGATAAATTATTTTCATTTGCGCACACTTGCTTTTAAAGACTTGAAAAAAAAACAACACTTCTCAGCAGAAAAGGTCAGGGTGTAACACTGTTGCGCCACGGTATGCCACTTTCTATGTGCTCTGATTATTCACATTGTGCTGGTAAATAGTTGGTCTAGTCAGAGCTTTCTACCGTGACAAGATAAGAGTTTTTCTTGTCCTGCACCTATTCTGTGATGCGTCACACTCGTGTAAATTTCCACCCACAGACAACAAAACAGGCACGGTGAAAGGAGACTGCGACAAAGGATAAGTTTAAGGTTTTAACACCAGTTAAAACTCATTCACAGGTGAGCTTCAGCTAAAAGGTCAATTTACCTTACTTTACATTATGACACTGTCTTCATCAAAGACACTGCTGAGCTGCTGGGAGCTGTACTATTCAAACAACAAAGTTCAAGGTGCCCCCCCACCCCCCCCACCCCCCCTAAAAAAGGAAAAAAAAAGAGCACAAGCAGTCAGACATCACAGAAGTTAGAAAACCAGTCAGGGGTTTATCCACAATATGTAAACTGCCCTATATGAATGCAAAACTAAAAGTAAACACATGCACCATCTCTATTTGCATTGTAAAATCAGCATGTAAATGATATATTATATTAAGAAGGTTAGGTCAGTGTTGGGTCAACCTGGTAATGTTATTTGCACCCGATTAACTTTTTTAAAAAAAACAATGGAAGAGATCATCAATGGAAATATAATGCCAATGTTCATGTTCCCTCAGAATGAACTTCAATTACTGGATTGACCTTGGCCCTTACTAGTTTTATCAGGTCAGTTCAGTGGTTCTGTATTTGGTGAGATTACATCCATGCACTGTAGTAATTATCAAAATATTGTTTGTTTGTTTGTTTTTTCATGGAAATGGACTGTCTGAGCTGCATTTCACCATGTTTAATCTGTAACCTAAGATGCTTGTCTTTGAATCGTGCCAAGAGGAAACCCATGCAGGCACAGGGAGAACATGCAAACATGCAAAAAAGTGTGAGAGTGCTAACCACTGCATCACCATGGTGAACATAATTCCGAGCATGGATTTAGCTCGGTGCCATATCATAACAACAATACCAGCATAAAGTTTTATGTGGTATAAAAATGCCATGTCATGATATCATTGGTATTGTAGTGCCATGTCCTAGTGCACGCAACACTGAGATAAGCCCGGGCATGTCTGAGAGCAGGAGCCGTATGTCACCACCATTAATGATTTATTACCCAAAAAGGAAGCTGCTTCAGCAAACTCTAACCAAGCACAGAATTCTGAAAAGCATAGGAAAAAAAAATCTCCTGCTAAAGCTGGACAAAACAAATATGTTTCATCAAAAAACAGGGCTGAGAATGACCAGGCTATGAAAAAGGACAAAATTACTGGTAATGGTTACACCACGGAAAACCAGAGCTTTAAGCAGCTGGTTAAAAAACTTAACCCAAGATACAAGATGCCAGGTAGAAAATATTTTTCGGTTTTATTACAATATTGTGCAGCTCCTGAAGAGTTGCAAGGTTCAGTTGATTTAGTTCTTGTTAAACTAAAGTGTTGTACGGTTCATACTTTTTACTTCAAATTCCCAGAGAAAACACTTACCTAGGCTAGTTTTGTGCTCACAGTTGACTCATACCGTGTCCCTGGATATAAGTCTGTGTTATTATTATTGCACTGCAATGCTGCTTCTGCTGCTGGCACATTTGCACTTAACATAGGAAGTGTCATCAGTGAACAAACAATGTAGTACATTAAGTTAATTTCTAGTAATATGTTAATTAGTAGTTTTTATGCGAATTAATTTCCAGGTGTCTGAATGTGTGTAGTGACCCATGCAAAAATCTTACCCTGAGCATATTAATAATGCTTAAACTACTACTGTAGCTGATTCCCATTTTTATATACAGTCTATTATAGCAACATGCATCAGTGTTTTAAACACAAAGCCTTGCTTGAGTGGAGCAACTGGCGTCTCATTTTAGCATTTTTTACACAAAATGCAATGATTTCCTAAAGGACAATCTCACTGCTCTTATTTTGAGTGTTCACTTATTATTAACCAGCTACCCCGAGCCCTCGCTATCTTATGTTTTTCCTACCAGCCTGTGTGCTATCGAGGAGCTCCTCCCTGTCATTCATCTGTTTCTTCAGAGAGGATCTGGTGTCTGACGACTCTGCAGTTGGTGTTGGCAGCTGGTGTCTGTAGTCCTTGTTCTGCTCTGGAGAGGCTTTTCAGTTCATTTGTTTATGTAGCACCAATTCACAACAACAGACACCTCAAAGCCCTTAATGCTGCGAGTTAAAGACCATAAATTATTAGAGCAAAAACCCCAACAGTCTGATGATCCCCTATGAGAAAACACAAGGTGACAGTGGGAAGGTAAAACTCCCGTTTAATAGAAAAAACAAAGAAAACCTTTGGCAGAATAAGACTCCTATTGATTGTATATATGCATATTCTGATCTAAACAGATCTATACAGAGGTATATGATGGCAGCCATTGGTAACATCACACTGGTTATCCAATGAAAGCATCCTAGATCTCATAATTGTTATACAATACTGAAACTGGATGAGATGAGCAAGAGTTAGATCTGGCTAAGAAACCGAGGAACCCAGTGCACTTACATGGTAGAGACTTGTCAGCAGTTCAAGAGGGAAGAGTTGAAGTTCATCTGTGGGATAAGAGAATCACTGGAAAGGCAGCTGGTTACACTACACGGTTGTTTCTTTTAAATTATCTGATGGAGTAAATATAGAGATCTCTGCAAGGATTTTAACCCCCATTCCAGACGATTGTGGCCTAAGTAGCAATTATTGCATGCTTTACTAAGATAACCATAACATAGGCATCGCTTACTCAGTATCACTTTAAACACTGTCATTAACAGAATGTGCAATTGACACCTAAGAGTTTACCCAACAGGTAGCATCAAATTAAGAATTTTTTGATCACCGTCAGCTATTGAGCTTCATAACGGTCATTAAGGCATCTGTAAAACACAACTCATTACATTAATGACTCTTTTTACTGCTCCACCTCTAAAATTATACACTGGGGAGTTAAAAAAAAAACTAGCTCCGCACTCCTTTGTATTTTCTGATAGCTCCTTGATTTGTAACCATCATACCAGCTTCACTATTATCACCAAAGTTCAACAACTGTTTAGAAGTGCTTGCCACCGTTTTCTGCGTAGGTCAGATGTTCTGTGGATAAGAAATTCAAACTCGTTCCAGGTACAAAACCGGAAACAACATCTCTTA